AGGTCGACCCGAGGGGGCCAGCCTGTCTTTCGGGAGTTTTGTGTGCGTTTTGGCAGGTTTCATAGCAGGGGTTTGTGGTTTCGGATTTGGGGGTTTGGGGTTTAGGGCTTAGTGTTTGTTTCGGGATTTAAGGATTGGGGCTGCAGATGTGAAAGGGTGCCGGGGTTGAACTTCGGGAGTAAGCTGCAGGGCTCGGGCATGCAGGGTTCGGGGTTTATGGTTCACTCAAGGGGTGCAGGGTGCAGTGTGTTAGTATAAGGTGCAGGGGGTTGAACCGTTGGCAGGAAGAAGTATAAAACTTGCTGAGAATGATCGTTCGAGAGCATGCACGTTAATGTGCAAGTATAGATACAGACGTGGTATGTGCTCGACCCTAAAGCCCTAACCTAAACACTAAACCCTCAACCCCCTAAGCCCTGAACCATCCCTGAACTAACTCGGAACCCAAGTAACTCCCGGAATGGAGGTCTGGAGCATGCGTACAGTTCTTCTAGAGCCTTGACATCTTGCCAGAGACCCCCAAACCCCTTCGTGAGACCATGTATGTATGTATGTATGTATGTATGTATGTATGTATGTATGTATGTATGTATGTGTGTATGTATGAACCTAAATAAAGGGATATATATATATATATATGTGCAGGTACATATATTGTATGATTATACATACATGTATGTATGTATGTATGTATGTATGTATGTATGTATGTATGTATGTATGTATGTATGTATGTCATTGTTTTTGTTGACAGAGCGTAGGTTGAGTTTGGGTGGCGAAGTGTGAGCTTGCTTTAACTATCCCAGCCCGCAAGCCCTTCCCCAAACGCGCTCATTTTGATGGTTTTAACCTCTAGGTGTCGAATAAGAAATGTGCAGAGACTCTCGCATGTCCTGGTAGTTCTGAAATGTCAAATCCGATTAAGAAGTGCGCCAAACTCTGGTGAAGGAATGTGTTTTCTAAACATAAACTTCGACTTTAAAAACATAAACCTCGACCATATCCTAAACCCTAAACCCTAAATGATGGAAGGCAGACTCCCTCCTTGAAGGGCTGTGGAGTCTCGGGGATGCTCAACCCTGAGAATCCCTTTGCGACCCTAGGCTCCGAAACCCTGAAGCCGACACCCCAGACAGCCCTCCGAAACTAAACAAACCTTCCAGAACCTATACAACCTAAAACCCTACAGCCCCAAACCCT